CGATGGGATGAGCAGCATGAATCTTCAAAAGGAACCAGAGAGATTGGCCGTGACATTGGAAGCTGAGCAGGTTATTTAGAAGTATGCTGTATTGCTGGGTGTAGCTCAGTTGTTGAATGCTTCTCTAGCCCATGTGAGGCCTTGGGTGTATACAACAAGTGCTTACAGTGAATAAATGACCGCTTTCAACAGAAAGGTACACAATGACTATGTGGTTGACCTCGAGTGTGACATCAATCTCCTAAAGTTAAGGTGGAACTTGGGATCAAGGCACTAGGATCTTGAGCCCCTGGACAGCCTGGGCATCCCAACAAGTTCCAGGCCAGTCTAGGCTACTAGTGATACCCTGTCCCTCCAAACCAAAAAATAATGTTAAAACAATGATTGAAAGTCATCTCGCTGGGCGGTGGTGACCACGCCTTTAATCCCAGCACTCGGGAGGCAGAGGCAGGCGGATCCATGTGAGTTCAAAGCCTTCCTGGTCTCCAAAGTGAGTTGCAGGAAAGGCACAAAGCTACACAGAGAAACCCTGTCTTGAAAAACCAAAAAAAAAAAGAAAGAAAGAAAGAAAAGAAAAGAAAGAAAGTGGTCTCTTCCTCTCCTGCTCCTGACCAACAGTCTCGGGGAGAAAATTCTTCATTTCTGAGTTCTGAATTGTGAGCTATCAACAAAGCACTCATCCCCAAGTGTACTTGTTTTTCTTCGATGAAGTATTCTGACTTTATGTACAGAGAGGTCATCAGGAAAGCCTCTGTCTCCTTCCAGGGTGTCAGCCTCTCCATCCTAGGGGTGCTGACCTTGCAGGAGGACCTGCCTTTCTCAGGGCTGTTTGCCTGCATGCCTGGCAGCCAGGGCCTCACCTTGGGGGGAGGGGCGGCATTTCACCTGCAGGTGAGATGATTCCATGGCAATTAAAATAATAGCTCCGTATGTCTCATAGACCAGAAATGAGGAAGTCCCAAAGGGCTTTGAGAAGCTGATCAGTATCCTGCCCAAGGTTCATGAAAGTCACTGCCATGTGGTAGAGAAGACTTAACCGAATAGGGAAGTGTTCAGGCCAGGTTGTACCAGGCAGCAGGGTAAGACGGAAATTACTGTGGGATTATAGCCTGATAATTTTGGGGACACACATTGTTTTTTAAAATGAGGACATTCTTGTTCTGTCATTGTATTTAGTACATTTTTGAAATCCTGGTCTGGTCAGCTGTGCTCAGAGGAAGCAAAAAGAGGTTTTTGTCCAGCTCAGGCCAGAGATTTAAAGGGAAAGCAGACATCGAAGAAACAGGAAAAAAAAGAGCTTCATTGGGAAGGTAAACCGAGGACAAATGGACTGGGATCCCTGTGTGTGGACCCTGAACAGACAGACAGACTTCTCGTGTCTGTCTGTCTGTCTTTCTCTCATCTATCTATCTATCTATCTATCTATCTATCTATCTATCTATCTATCTATCTATCTATCTATCTAGTCTATTACTCTTGTAGTGACTCAAAGACAGGAAGGGACCTCAAGTGCCTGACATCGTGGTGCACATCTGTGATCCTAACACTGGGAAACTGAGGCAAGAAGATCTTGAGTCTGAGACCGGCTTGGACTACACAATGAGATCACCTGAAACTACATACAAGCGAAGTGAGATGGACTTTAATGTGCTAGGCATGGTGGCTCACACCCGTAATCCCAGCACCCAGGAGACCAAGATGGGGCTGGGTGGGGTGGGGGAGGGGAGAGAGGGTGGTTGCAGTGAATTCAAAGCCACCAACTGACATGCCAACATGGATGGGGGAAATCACACAAGCTCCTACCCCTAGATGAAGATCTAGAGGCAATCAATGACCCATGAGAGGGGGAGAATCAGTCTTCCCCAGAGACGATGCCACTCACTGGTTATCCAAATTAAACAAAACCAAACATGTACATATAAGCAACACTAAATGGACTCAGCAGGCTGCATTTATATAGTTATTCACATCTATACAAAAGCAATTCAGGGGCTGGAGAGATGGCTCAGTGGTTAAGAGCACCGACTGCTCTTCCAGAGGTCCTGAGTTCAATTCCCAGCAACCACATGGTGGCTCACAACCATCTGTAATGAGATCTGGTGCCCTCTTCTGGCCTGCAGGGACACATGCAGGCAGAATACTGTATACATAATAAATAAATAAACCTTTAAAAAAAAAAAAAAAAAAAAAAAAAAAAAAAAAAAAAAAAAAAGCAATTCAAAAGGCCACGATGGGGGGAGGGGCACAGGAAGGGTCGAGGGAGGAGACTGAGAGAAATGTTTTAGTAGGGCACACGTGTACGAAACTGAAGAAGGCGCTGTCCTGGAATTAGGGGTCAGGGCTGGAATGACTGGTAGTTGTCTCTGGAGTTTGTGATCCAGGATGAACCAGCCAATAGAATCTGATTTAGAAAGGAGAGGCGGGAATAGGAGTCCCGTGACCAGGAGCCTGTGAGTGGTGTGATAAGCACTGAATTCAGGCTGCTTAGAAAAGCCGACTTTTTCCTACTTAGGGGAAGAAAGGACACAGGGTTTGCAGCAAAACCCCCATCCATGCCCGAGAAGGGGGAAGGAGAGTTGGGGGCAAACAAACTGAGGCACAGAGCAGAGCAGTGGGTGGGTGCGTGGAGGGAGGCAGGAGGTTCCGAAGTCCAAAGTCATCCTCCTACATATCGAGTTCCAGGTCATCCTGGAATCCATGAGACTGTCTCAGAAGTTTAGACAGCAGGAATCGGAAGCAGCTGTGCGAAGATGTAGTCATTTCTGCTATGTCCTACCGATCTAACAAATCACTGTGTCTGCCACAAATCAAAAGGAGAAGGAAGGGCCAGTGGAAGTGGTAGAGAATGTGTCGCCCTTCTCATGACATCACGCCATCTCACCAAGTCCTAGCACAGCCTCTTGATTCCCGTCTCCTGATCCTCAGTAGTCACAGAGTAGAAACAGGGAGGGCGTGGGAAACCAAGCGCCCTGCATCTTCCCTCAGTCAAGAGCTGATGCCATACAGCAAATGGCTGGACTTGTCAAGTGATTCAGTGTTCTCCAGAATCCTTAGCAGATTGGTTCTGGGGCTTCTGCAGAGGCCCAGATCCCTTAATAGACAATGACACAGTAGGGCTAGGGGACATAACTACAGAAGGCAGAGTGTTTGCCTAGCACGCAAGAAGCCCTGGGTTCGATCCCCAGCACATCAGAACCAGAAATAGCGAACACCAGTACTTGTAAGCACTTGACAAGTAAAGGCAAGAAGATTAGTTCATCCTCCTCCTGCATAGCAAGATTGAGGCCATGCTGGGATGCACGAAACCCTTTCTTAAAATTGAAAAAAAAAAAAATAGACAAAAGAAAAAAAAAGCACAGTAAAAAGTAAAAGAAAAAAAGACTGCAAGGTGTGTGCATAAAACCTACACACAACTTTTCTTCTGCCTCAGTTTTTAGATAGATCACTAACAATCCTTAATACAAAGTAATGCTGTAGAAATAGTCATGCTATTGTCTAGGGAATCGTGACAAGAAAAGAAATCTGTGCAGGTGCAAAGGGTCCTGAGTGTGACCGCCTGCCTAGTACATCGGCAACAGTGTAACTTTTGAATTCCTTTCTTTCATCTCTTCTTTTATTTGCTTCCTTTTTGTTTGTTTTCTTTCCTCTTTTGAGACAACGTCTCCCTATACAGTGCAGGCTGGCCTCCAGTGCCCCGCTCATTTGAACCTTTTCCATCCTGGTTAGTTGAATCCTTAATGAAAAAGAGAATGGACTGGTCAAAAAAAAAAAAAAAAAAAATGTCCTCCCAGATCTTCCCTGCAGATGGCATTAGTGACTGATGATGGTCTCAGCTGCTGAGCACTACTGAAATCTATCCCATGGTGTTTAACACCCTCCCCACCCCCACCCTCGTTGGTAAAGACCTTCTCAAGGTTGCTCCCAGTCAGCTAAGCACAGAAGGGACGTCAGGCCTGCATCTGTGATGTGTCAGAATTTTGGGACATGCCAATTTGGCTCAAGGACCACCAGGGCTTTGCCAAACTTGCAGTGTAGTGCCAGGCACTTCTTTCCACCCAGCCTTCCCTGCTTGCCTCTTTCCATCACTGAAAATCACACCTGTATCCCAGTTCTGGTTCCCCTTATAAACCTGTACAGCATTTCTCTCTGGCATGGACCCTGAAGAACTGGGATAGCTAGCCGCTTCATAATAGGGGCTCCTGTGGGGATGTGTGTGTGTGTGTGTGTGTGTGTGTGTGTGTGTGTGTGTGTGTGT